TGGGAGCAGAGCTTGGGGTGTAGGGACACAAGGAGTGGGTGAGAGCCTGGCTGGCTGGGCAGAGGGCATGCGGGGTGCAAGCAGGGTGCAGGCAGGGCACGGGGTGCTGGAATGGTGCAGGTGAGGAGCATATGTGTAGGCAGAGTGGAGCAGGGTGCAGGCAGTGCAGAGGCTGCAGGTTGGGTGCAAGCAGAGTTGGACAGGGTGCAGGCAGAGCTGAGCGGGGTGCAGGCAGAGTTCAGGCAGGGTGCTGGCAGTGCTGAGCAGGGTGCAGACGGGATACAAGCAGGCTGCTAATGGTCTGCAGGCAGGGTGCTCGCAGCCTGCAGGCATGACAGCTGCATGGGGTGCAGGCAGGGTCGGATGGGGGGCTAGCAGCATGCAGGCGGGGTTCAGGAGGGATACAGCAAGGTGCAGACAGGGCACACGCGGGATCCAGGCAGGATCCAGGCAGGACACAGCAGGACAGCCCCGCTCCCCGGCCGTGCCATTACGTTGCCACGATTGAATCCGCAGCGGCTGCTCGGGAACGACCAGAGGTCACTGTCCAAATATAGCCATGTCCTGCGGGGCGGCGGCGGGCGCCGAGGGGCCGGGGGCCGGGGTCCCTCCGCACCCCCCCTTCCCGCCCCGTGCCCGGTCCCCGCTGCCCGGTCCCCGCTGCCCGCGCCCCGGCTCCCACCTGCGCTCCGCGGCTCCTGCGCGCTGCGGGCGCTGCGCCCCGCTCGGCTCCGCCCGGCCCGGCCCCGCTGCGCTCCCCCCCGCCCCGCACACCACGGCCCGGCCCGGCCCGGCCCGGCCCCGCTCCGCCCGGCGCGGCTGCGCTCGGCTCCGCGCAGTGCCGCTGCCGCAGAGAACAGCTGAGCCGAGCCGGGAGCCGCGGCCGCCACAGCCCCCCCGCGGCGGGCACCGGGAGGTGGGGGGGGCCCGCTCCGGCCCCGCCTGTCCCCGCCCGGCCCGGCCCCTTTGGCACTGAAAGCGGGGGGCCCGCACCCCCCCATCCGCCCCCCGCACGCTGCATGGGACCCCTGCGCACTGCGCTGCAGCGGGGTGGGCATGGGGGGAAGCCTCTTTGCGCTCTGAGAGACCACGGCGGGGGGTTCACCCCCCAACACTCCGCTTCCATCACTCCGGGGTCACTTCAGCTCAGGGCTCAAGCGGGCACAGGGCTGATGGGCATCACCGCATCCCTGCATTGGGCGCCCTCACATCCTGCAGCCAGCCCAGTCCCACCAAAGCCATGGCCGTGGGCTGGCCCCAACCCCATGGGCTCATAACCTGGTCCCCCCTGGAGCGAGGGGGCTGCAAGCCCGTAGGGATGATGAACCCACATCAGCCCTGCATAACGGGATGGTTACAGGCACATTCAGAAACCAGATTTGGAATTTAGCAGACGCCTGCCCCGCAGGGATGCCCTAGCCCACAAGGGGATTAAGGGATTGTGGGGCTCGGGGACCGGTGGGAGGGGAGCCGCGGTTCCTGGAAAGGCAGCAAAGCCCTGGACCCTACAAGGGCACCGTGTGGAGCCAGGCAAGCATTGGCTGAGCCGGGCAGGAGGGGGCTGCTGGCAAAATGGAAGGGAAAAGGTGACATCCCTGCTCGCCTGGCCAAAGGGGTGGCGGGGAGGGAGCGGGCTGCAGAGCCCCCCCTGCCTGCCCTGGCCCACCATGGCTCTGGCTCACTCTGCCCTTGGCCCCATGTTCTGTATCCTCAACTCCAAGCCACATCCCCAGTGAGCGCAGGAAAGGGCCTGGGAAGCCTTTCCCCAGCCGGTTATTTGGCGCTTGGACGCAGCTCAGCTCCTTGGTTGGCCATGGCAGGTCTGGTCCCGAGGGCAGCTAAAACCTTGCACCTCCTTGCTTCCAAACCAGGAGCCTCCCACAGCTCCTCTGCCTGTGGCAGTGCGAGAGGGGACCTGCACTGTCCCAGGTTTTACACATGTAACCCCCCCCCCCCCCCGCAGCATCTTCCCTGGGGCTGCAGCAAGGGCTGGAAGAGCATCTTGCTTGGCAGCACAGCTCCTCAGCCCCTGCACGCATCACTTGGGACAGGATGGGTCCATCTACCCCTTCTGGCAGGGGACACGAGTGAACAACCCGGCTCTGGCTCCCCAGCCCCTGTGCTGAGAGCAGCACGGGGCCACTCACTGCCCCCCAGCCCCCCCCCAGAGGAGGCAGCAGGCCCACATCATCTTCAAAATAAACCTTTATTTATTCGGTAACAAGAACATTGAATCTGCACATCAGTGCACGAGTTCACATTTAAAAACAGCTGAGCACATCGGTCATAAAGTCTTTAGGGGGAAAGGGGACGATCCCAGCCACCAAGGAAGATCCAGGAGGAGCAGAGGGAAGCGCTCCCCGGTTTGCAACTCCACCACCAGGCATCCCCGGGGCGATCCCTACGCGCCAGCACGGGCGCCACATCTCCATACAGGAAAAGAAAAGGCACTGGCACCACCTTCTGTGCCAACAGAGATGTCTGCAGCGCGGGCGGGCTGTTAGCACCTCTGGCAGCACTGCCGGAGGGTGACCAAGAGCCTGGAGCCCTCCTGCGCCAGGCCAGCGCCTGCCCCAGCCCCACACCAGCAAGGGTTCCGGGGGTCCCTCCCTTAGGGAGAAGCATGGGGGGGGTGTGCATGGAGCTGGGACCAGATTAAGGCAGGACGCACCGTGAGGGGAGCAGGGGACCCGTGGTGGGTATGGCTTCCTCCTGCTGCTGGGCTGGGAGAGCGCTTGGAGCCAGGAGCAGGAGCAGTGCCCCGGTGCCAATTCCCTCCTCCGGCGGCCCGGAGCTGCAGGGGGTTCCCTTCGCTGGCAAAGGGACACGGAGCTAACCCCTGCCCCATCACCCCTCCTGCCACCGCGCTGGGACCGTGCCCCCAAGGAAAGGGCTGAAAGGGGAAGAGATTTGTACAGGTCACAACTTCCCAAGCAGACCAGACACACACACACACATACACACGCACACATGCACACAGCATCGAGTGCAACAGAACAGTGTACAAACCACGTCCACACACACGCTATCCGCTTGTGCAAGGCTCACACGTTACAGTACAGCCGGGGCGGGCGAGGGGAGGCGATGGCTGAGATATTGTACAGGAGTCAATGTAAACAACGCAGCGTCCTCCGAGAGGGCTTTGCAAGACCAAAAGAACAGTTGCTTTGTACAAAAATGCCCTTAAAACAACACCTTTCTCCTCAAACCCCTCCATCAGCGAGCCTTGAGCTCCCCATGGTGCTTGGTGGGGCACAAGAAGCACTCCAAGGAAGCAGGAGTGAACCACCACCCATCCGTGAGCCATCAGCGTGGAGAAGGGACAACTGTCCCCTCACAGAAACCTCTGATGCCAGGGCCTTGGTGGCTTTGCTGCCCAGAGGCTGGAGAGCTGCATGGGACGTGTCCCTCCAACCCCTTTCCCTTTCTGCCATCCAGCTGAGCCTCCAGCCCCCCAAAACCTTCACAGCTTTGCAATGGAACCACCTTCCCCAACTCCTTCTTCCCAGATTAAAACCACAGCGATGCTGGGACAGAGCTGAGGACAAGGGGACAGCACCACAGCTCCCTGCAGGGGCCTGTGCCCCTTGGCTGCTCTCCCCAGCTAAAGCACCTGGACAGCAGCAGAGTAGGGGCAGGAAGCAGCATTTCTGGTCTGCATAGAAGAGCCTTTCTATAGGGAATTTCTCCTGGGATGGAGCTGGGCAAAGAAACCAGATCCCCTTCCTCCTCCTCCTCCCTTCTCAAGGGAGCAAATGACACACAGAGCTTTCCCCTCCCAAGCAGATCCTTGTCTCCAGGACATGCAACCAGCCAAGCACGCTGCTCCCTTCAACGCAGGGCAGGCCTGGTGGCAGCCTGTCCCTTGCAAGGAGCAGGCAGACGTGTCCTTGGGGTTGGGAACGGTGGGCAGTGGGGTCTGGTGAGGTTTGTGGGGGAGGCAAGGCCTGGAACTGTCCTTCACAAGATGACATGAGCCACTTGGCCTTTCCTTTTGCCCAGCTCCGTAGCCAGCTGGAGCTGGCCAGGAGAAGCCAAATGTCTTTCCATGTCCCAAAGAAGTATCTGGCCTCCCGGGCCAGCAACTCGGGTGGCTCCTAGTGACTGAAATGGCCTGCAATGACGTGCTACGTGACCCAGGCTGGGCTACTTCGGGCTGTGCTCCAGCCTGCAGCCAGCACGGGTGACAGAGCCCAAGCTCCTTGGAAAGGAGGGATGAAGCACATGCTGCTGCTGGAGGGGACACACAGTCCCATGCTGTGGGAATGTGGGACAACCCCTGGGAGTGAGAGGAGGGCAGAGAGGTGGGGTCCTCACCTCTGGGGTTATGGACACCCCTTCCCCAGGGGAGACACATGCTGCTTCCCAATACTCCACAGCGCTCTGGTGAGGTCTATTCCTCTCCAGCTCAAGCTGAGTTTGTCCCATCAGAGCCTGCAGCATCAGCACCGCTTTCTAGGCACAGCCTTTGCTGCTCCTCCCACAGCATGTCCTCTCCATGCGGGGCTTTCAGCAGCTGGAGCCATTCTGCAGCTTCTCTCTGCTTTGCTCCTCCTCAGGGGGCAGGATCTGGGCTAGGGCCAAGCACCAGCTCACTCACAATCTCCTGCCACAGCCCTTCCATGGGATTGGAAAGCTCTGGATCCTGTCTGCAAGCATCTTCCTACAGCACACATACAAGTCGCTGGTATGCATGGCTGGAAATGAGGAGCTTTGATTTAACCCAACTGCTTGGGAACTATTAAATCATGTGCTGGAGGCTGGAGCAGACCCTTCAAACACGGGTTCTCCAGGGAAGCAAGAACCTGCAGAATGGCTCAGAGCAGCCCACGGCTTTCCACATCCAACTGGCCCCTCTGAAACCCAGCTTCCAGCAGGAGGGAAAGGGGCAGATGCACTGGGGGTGATGGGGACTCACAAGGACTGGAGGAGAAGGGACACATTTGGCAAAGGCTGGCATGGAGGTTCACTTCTGGAAAGGGGAGACAGGTTCCAATGTGAAACCCACTCCCGTTTCTGGGCAGATTACAATGAACAGCACTGAGTTTGAGTAAGATGGGTTTGATTTCCAGTTTACAGAATGCAGTCTTGCCCTTTTTAAAAAACAGAAAACCACATGGAAATGACCAAAAAAAAAATCTCTATAAATACCATATATACAATTTAGGCAAAAAAAAAAAAAAAAAAAGGAAAAAGAATCCAGAAAAGCTCATCCCTCCAAGTGTTGGGAGTGACAGCAGAGAGGACAAAGCTTTGCATTCAGTAGGAGCAACGCATCATGTAACAATAGGTTTGGGAGTGCCCAGAAGTGCCCGTGAGCAGAAGGGAGAGAAAAACTCAGGCAGCATGAGGAGACAAGAATGAGGCAGAGGGGAGGCAGCAGGAGAGCAGAGGACAGATGATATGGCCATGAACTTGGAAGGCCCACAGCAGTATTCAAGTAATGGGAGGGTTTAAACCCTAACGAGGTGTTTGTTTTAAAAGAACACTCTGGCTTTGGGGGGGTCTCCTCCTCTCACACAATGGTTTGGGGCAGTTGAGAGCTTGGAGGTCATGGAGGAGCTCTGCATGACCTGCACCAGGAGGTGAGCACTGATCTGATCTCTGGGGTTTCTGGAGCCCATCCGTCAGGATTTACCCACATGCTCCTTTGAGGATGCAGCAGCTGAACCGAGCCCAGGGGGGTTGTCCTGTAGCAGCTTTGTGAGTGATCTGCCAGCATCGTGGAGTTCCAGTTTGCAGAAGTAAAAGAAAGGCCAAACAAAGGGACCTTGGCACAAGCCTTCACATTTATGGGGGCTGTGACCCCAACAACTGCCCAGCACCATTTCAAAGCACGGGGAAAATTCAAGTGAGGAGTTCGGATGTGGTTCTAAGCACAACCCCACCTTGCTGAAGCAAGCCAACATGCACCTTCACGTGACAGAAGTGTTCTTTTAAAACAAAGCACAAACAAAAAGAACATTTGAGGTTATCTGAGTTAAAAAAAAAAAACAACTTAAAAAACCCAAACAGTCCTGCAGTCAGAGTCACACACAGAAGAACCAACCCACACCTACATGCGCCAGGAACAGTAAAATGACAATATATATATATAAAATTAACCAATAAAGTGCATGTTCCTTATATTACACCTGCCCCTTGGGTGAACGCAACGCCACAGGTTGTGTGGAGGAATCCCAGCCGAGGGCTCCGGATCACATTGTGTTGTAGAGGGGATTGGTTGTCCGCTTTTTATCATTGGTCTTTTTGAGCCTCCTCAGAGGGTGAGTTCTCCCGTGCTGCTGCCGTGGCGCGACAGCCAGGCCTCGAGCTGGGGACAAGGAGTCCAGGACGTGCGCCTGGAGCAGCGGAGGACCCTCCTCGGAGCTAGTCCACGTTGGATCCGTGCTGGAAAACAAGCCCTGCTGGCTGGAGCCGCACTCTTTGGCGTACTGAGCTAGCGGCCTCTCCACAGGCTTGCTCTGGGCAATGCACTCGGTTGTTCTGAGCTGTTCCACAAAATGCTTAGCGGGCTCCGGGGAGGAAAGGCGATGCTTTCCACATGAATCCCTCTCCAACCTCCCCCCGCGAAAGCCTCGACCCAGGGCAACGCAGGTGAGAAGCACCGGGTTGGCATCGGAAGAGGCTGACTCCCTCTCGGACAAGTCATCCTTGGAGAGGTCCAGGCAGTCCAGTTTGGCCAAGGACGCCGAGCGTTTCATGTGGGATGGCGTGGTGAGCCCCGCGTGCCGGATCCGAGCCTCTATCTCCTTCGCTCGCTGCTTGACCAGCCCAGGGCTGTTGCTGCGCTCCTCCACGCTGCGGCTGCTGGAGCTGTGCGAGAGGCCGTAACACAGGAAGGAGATGTCCAGAAGGTCCATGTTTTCATCACGTTGGCTGGTGAAGTCCTCACCGCTCAGCTGCCTCGAGGTGCTGGCACCCCCCCTACACCGAGGTCTGTCCCTGAATGGGAGAGCTGCATCTCCCTCCGTGCCACACGGCGTGACCGGCTCGTCATCAGTACCCGTGCTCTGCTCAGTGACACCTTCCAGGTGAATTACACAGGGGTGAGAAGAGTGATCTGGGCTGGCTGAAGGTGTAGAGGTCACCTGGGCAGAGGGAGAAGCAGCACCGAGGTGAGCAGATAACCCACCACCATCCTCACTGGGGCTGCCCACAGTGCAGGTGACCTGCTTGTGTACCGCGTGCTCCAGTGAGAGGTTTACCAGCGTCGGAGCTCGGGGACAGGTTGAGCACAAGGAAGGGTTCAAGTTTTCATCTAAAGAGGGGATGGCTGTGACCAGCCCGCCCTGCTCACAGCTTGCATTGGGGCGCTCTGCAGACTTGACCACGGGAGTGTATTCGATGATTTCAATTCTCTTTGGGAGGAGGGAGGGCAGGGCTGGCTCCTCCATCCCATCGAATGAGACCACTGTCCTGCGCTGCTGCGCCATTCCCTCCTGCCCCGGGCTGGGCTCTGCAGGCAGAGATTCCTGTGCAGGCAGGTGCCTGCCCACAGGCAGCTCTGCTCCAGGAGGCAGAGGCAGCTCCTCATTGCCTGGAGCCCGTCCTTTGTCACCCTCCGGAGCCAGCTCCAGGGGTGGCTCCTCGCTCTTTCCCCGCAGCAGGAGCTCAGCAGCAGGAGAGTCGTTCCTGGAGTTCTTGCGGGTGGGTAAGATGCAGACTGGGGATGTGTGCTGGTGCTCCTGCTCCTGCCTCAAGCGCTCCTCAAACTCCAGGGTGGCTCGTCGGACAGAGCCAGGGCACCACTTGGGCTCAGGGTTCATGGAGCTGCGAGGCTCCTGCTGCTCCCCTCCAGAGCTGCTTTCCTCCAGGTCTAGTTTACCAGAAGATGGCTGCAGGGAGGGGGCAGCTTCTTGCTCAGCTTGCACAGGGTCCTTCTCCTTTTCCTGGTGTCCAGAACAGGTTCCTTCACTCTGTTCCACCCTTTCTGATGCCCAAATCGCCTCCACTGGCAGGTCATGCACTGTGTTCCTCTTTGGTGTCTGGCTGAGGTTGGCTGAACCTTCTTTCTGCTGGGCAGGTCCTGCTCCCTGGTTGATTGACTCGATCTCTGTGATGATCTCCTTCACAGAAATGGCATTTTCCGAGTGGGATCTGGTGAGATGGCCTGTGCTGGGCAGCTCGGGCACCTCCTGCAACACAAACAGTACAATTACAAAGTGGATCAGCTGTGCTGACACACAGCAAATGGCAGCAGCTTAAAGGAAATGGGGGTGCACGTTCCCAAAGGAACAAGAAGTGCATGTGCTAGTGTGCGGGGATAGATTACAAGTGCCATGATGACTAATGAAGCATTATTGTCTCTGGGGGCTGCATTCAAGATATTCCAGGCTGGATTTTCACCTAGATTGAGATTCAAGGTCTTCTTGTTTAATTGCCCCGAATTCCAGGGGAATTTAGCCTTTTTTTCTAATAAATAAAAGTCCACTTAACAAAATAAAACTATTCCTAATGCTTCTAAAGGCACAGTTTTGCACTGAAAACTGTGAAAGATTCTGCTCATGTAGGGGAGTGAGCAGAAGTACAGGATAAAGAATGAAACCTGGTTTCCTGGAAGAAAAAGGAAAGAGAGGCTCCTGCATCCACATGGATGCTCCTGCCAAATCACTGGAGAGAGTGTTGGCCTCTTGTATTTGGAAGAGTCTTACTGCCTCACATGGAGAGGGAAAAGATTCAAGCAATGCAGCGTGGAATTTAAATGAGAGGCTCCCAGAAAATGATGGCCCCAGACATCATCAATCCCTGCAAGAGTCTGGGAGGATGGAAAGCAATTATAAGGGAAAAGTACCTCAGTTCAGAGGTTACTACATTTTGTCAGGATCATATCTCTGCCCAGGAGAGAAGTGAGTCATGACACGCCTGATCCCATCGCTCTAGGCCTGGACAGGCTCATTCTCTTTCTCCAGCAGTGGAAGTTCTACACATGCCTTGATTTACTATCCCATTGCTGGTGCTTCCCAACCAGGGGAAGGTGCAAGTTTTACCCCATTCTTTGGTGGATTTCTCAAGTCAAGATAAATACCCACACTGGTTCGGGACGTTGAACCTTGGATTCAACCCATCTGATGCAAACCTCAAAAGTAAGTTTCTCATGAGAACAGCACAGCAGGTCAAGGTTGACTCAGCCAGTGCCCTGCCTCTGCCAGCAAGCAGATGTTTAAGGAAAAAGCACAGGAAAGGCCAAGTATCTAAAAGCGAAGAAGAAGAAAGCATCTAACAATGCTTCCCCAATGGGCAGCCTGCCCAGTGAGAGTCAGAATTAGGCAATGCCCTGTTCACAGCAAGAGAACCAGGTTTGAGCAGCAGTTTCCTAGGAAAAATGAGCAAGTTATTTTAACCTTTTGCTGTTCTTCATCTGTGGAAGAGTCATCTGATGCCTGAGGAGAGTTTCCAGAGCTGCTCCTTCGAGTATCTGCACCCCCATCCACAGCAGGCGGCACTTCCAGCACAGGCACCCTGGAGACTCCGTTCCTTCCACTCCCTTGCTCCTCCATCCTGGAATGGGAGCAAGTGCGTGACCGACTCTCCTGGGAAAGCTCCACAAATTTCTCCAAAGCACTGAAGAAATCAATCCTGTCTGTACTTAGCTCTGTCACCGCGGGCTGGGGATTCTGTTGGAGACTTGGGGAATTCTGATTTGGGGATTGGGGAAAGTCTTTTAAGCACGAAGTGAATTCTTCCATGGGAACCAAGTGCACATTCATATCAGGCTTAAGGGCATCTTTTTCCAGATCGTCCACTGTCAAATCAGGGAACTCTGTTATTTCCAAAGGGTGCTGGAGTTGCATTAAGGCCTCAGAAGCACGGCAGTTATCAGGGGGAACAGAGTCTACACAACACCCTGCCGTACAGCCATTGATACTGTTCAGGTTCAGCTTGTCCTCCATCTGCTCAGCGTGGAAGTCTCGACACGTAAACTCCAGGTGGATCCTTCTCTCCTTCACACACACCTCCTCGATCATGTTGGCATCCTCTGGGAGCTGCTGCTCCCTGTCTAGCTCAGCTGAGTAGATGGGAGACATCGGCTGCTGGTTGTCGTTGGTCTTTGCCTCTGAGATCTGGTCGGCTGAGGTGGTGATCTCCTTTTTGTTCAGCTCCAGCCCGGACTTGCAGATGGGCTCGTGATGGTCCGAGAGGTCACTGTCCGAGTGCGAGCGCCACAGTTTATTGTGCCGCTGTTTGCTGTGGGGAGGAAAAGGAAGGAAAACATTGAGTAGGGTCTTCATGTACCAGAGCCAGACCCACCGTCTTGTAAGAGGATGAAACCTACAGGAAGAATCATGCCAAACACTGGAGTCATTGACCACAACTGCTTCACTTAAACGGGTCAGGGCCAAACCCACTGCTCGAGAAGTTGATCCAGTAACAAGCCACATGCCTCAGCAGTTATTTTATCAGTCTATTCAACAAACAATGTTTAACTGACTACAGACTTTGGTCCTCCCTCAACCACAAAGCACGTTTTGCTGGCAGGTGAGCGATGACCAGAGAGGGTCTCTAGTTCTTGATGTGAGTGGATGGTGGACATGGAATGAAGTCAAATTTCCTTTGTGGCTCCTTCTTTGAACAGCTTCAGCAATCCATAACTGGGCTCTGGTAACCAAGAGGGCAGGGTGGGGTGAGAGGATGTGGGTGTGTGTAAAACAGAAGACATCCTCAACAGTCAATAAGCCTGCCTTTCACAGGAAGGAAGCTCAAGAGTTCTCCAGCTCTTGGAAAGCCCCCTTAGGAAGGTCTAAGCAGTCACAAAGCCAAGCAGCATTGCAACATCTTCCTTATCCCTACCTGCCAAAAAACCCAGCCCGTGCCCCTGGGCTTACAGAGAGCAAAGGAGGCAAGTTCTGACAGTGAAACCACACCAGCTAGCCATGCCTGCAAGGGCTTTGCTGAGTGACCATGGCCGCAGGGCTGTGCTTCCACCGATTGCCCCTAGGAGGAGAGCAGATACCACAGAAAGGTCTTGGATCAGCAGGAGACCTTGGAAAACCTCTTCAGTCCCTTGATAGTGCGAGAGCAGGCGCTCCCAGACACATCCATCGGCTGCTGTAAGTTAATTAACAGATGCCATTGGACTAATTACAATGCACTGGTTTGGTTGTGGGTGCCCAACCGCTAAGGAAAATAATCCACTGCAGATCTGGCTTTCCAACCCCATAATCAGCTACAGCCTTCGTGTGTGACACAGGTCAGGATCAGGGCCTTTCAGAGAAGAGGAGGATCAAGACTAGAGGCCAAAAGGCGTTGCTCTGGGGTGCACGTGCTCTGTCTCTAATGGGTTTTGGATCACAGTCTGACACTGGCAGCAGAACCAGGCTTTTCCATGAGGCAGGTTGTTGCTGAGGCTCTGCATGGGATGCTAAAGGCTTCCCGTGTCTCTGCTTATGTAACCTGGGGAGAAGCTGGGGATGTTTTTTTGAGGGCACTTCCTACCCTGGTGCTTCAGTGCTCACATCCAGCTGCACATCTGATTTTGAAAGTCAAAACTACCCTCACACACGAGCAAACCCAACTTGCCCAGCACAGCCTTGATCCAAGAATCAAAACACATGTAAACAACCACTGGGAGAGGTGCATTGTATCAGCCTTCAATCTCACACTTCCTCCATTCTCACAACCTGCAAGATGTGCTAAAAGCAGGAGAACAAGAGCCTGCATCCCTTCCTAGAGCCCACCGCCACCTCTTCACCTTCCTGAGCAGCATTCCCAGTGCTGGGGAGAACATCCAATGGCACAAGGTCTGGGGCAGCACTGGGGCTGCCCAGCTTGTGGTCACACCAGCTTTGGACCAGCCCCCCACCCCAGGCTGCAGCCAACTCTCCAGACTCTGGTATAACATTACTGCTGTTGATTTACAAGTTGCACAAGGAATAGAGAATCCCAAACACTGTTTTCCTGTAACTTATCCATAACTAATAAAAGCAACAGGGGTGGCTCTGCCTTTCTGTGGCTATCATCACATAGGAAGAGACAGTTTAACTAACCCCAGGAAGTATGACAGTCCCAAAGAGCAAAACACGCTTGTTGTTGTGACTAAAAGCAGGCAGGGAGTTTTCATTTTACAGCTGGAAAACATACCCCAGTTGCTATAACCCCAACACAAAACCGTAACCAGATAGCATGAGCACATGGCTGCCCTCACATACCATCCCCCTGAAACTGGAGCAGTCACATGAGTGGGGATCTGTTGGGTTTTTGTTTTTTTACCTGTCCTGGAATACTGCAGCAATAAACAAGGCAGGCAGAGAGCAGAGGGCAAAGCTCAATAACATAAAGAAAGCGGGAAGAAAAAGGCAGTTTGGAGCTGAGAAAGGAACCACATAACCACAGACCCCTTCTGCAGCACAGGGAGCCCATTCCTTGCTTCAGTGAAGCTTCATTTACTACAGGCTTTTCAGTCCTACCCACACAGGTGCAATGCACTGCTCCTGCATTTTGTAAAGCCTCACAAGTCATCCTCTTCGTGCTGTTGTATGGGGACTGGCAGAGTAGGTCAGGAGCAGTGGTGTGCTCAAGTGGGACGGGAGCCACACACCAGATAAAGGATGGCAGCAAGAGAAGATTTACCTCCTGAAAGATAAATTACCAGAAGACAGGGGCAGAAAAGTCCTTAACCAAAATGTTTGTAGAGGGTGGCTCTGCAGGTGTGCCACCAACCACCAGCGTGACATTACCTAACCCAACTGCAGGGCTGAAGATATGATGTACCAGCTGCTACCAGCCCAGGGCTCCTCGCAGGTGTTCACCAACCTGTTGCAAAGGAGGTTGATGTGTTTTTCAGCTCTGAAAAGCTTCTTTTCCTCCATCTGGCTTATCCCAGTGAGATTGCCCAGTCTGCTCAGTGCTGCATAGCACACCGCACTGGTCAGGTCACCTCTAGCTCAGAGTTAAGCACTGACCTTTATTAAATGGTGCCAGCAGCACGTTTGGTGTCACACAAGGCACCAAGGCAGGTGTGGTGTCTGTCTCCAAGGGTTTCAGTCCAGAAGAGCATAGATATTTCTTGAAATATCTATTCTACTGTGATCTATCCTGAGACTGAGTATTACCTGCTTTTTGCAAGAGGATAGTACAGACTCAAAGGGACAAGACCAAGCAGAGGACAGAGGTGATAACTATACCCTAAAGAAAGAATGTGACTGCCTAAGCTGCTGTAAAGAGCAGCATAAGGCAGAAACCTTTCAAGAGCACCATGCAGCTATGAAGTAATTACTATGGTCAAAACGTGCCCAGAGCATGTGGCAGGAGGCTCAACTTGGGTAGTTCTGCTTGCTTCAGATCTGCTCCCTGGCAAAGCACACCAGGATCCTAAACAGAACACTGTAATCTGGTGAACACAGAGTATCACTACCTCCTTCCAGCTGATCACGTGAACACATTGCTTAATGCAGCCTGCAAGTGGCTTTCTCAGAAACATGCAATATTTGTGTGTCTTTTGCTAATCAAGTGATAGGCTTGGGCTTACAACACACTTGCCCAGCTCCACACCAGGCTCAGGACTCCATGCAGGAATAAACACTGCTGTTGCAATGCACAGAACATCCTGTCCCCTCCCCTAACACCAACACTTATGGAAGTGATCTAAATAAAACCAGACCAGCTGCTGAGGAGAGGCACGCTCAACAGGGAACTGTGAGGCTGAGATGGAGACAAAGCGAGTCTCCTGCCAAGTGATGTTACAAGCAATAGGAACACCATTTATCTCTGCTGGGGGCTGCACAGCTTTGAATGCTGCATTCAGATGGTAGATCACAGGATGCTACTCTCCAAAAAAGTCAGCCACCCTAGAAGCCAAAGAGCCTCCTAAAAGCTCTTTATTACACCCACTTTCCCAGGCTCAGCTGAGATAACCCATGAAAACAAAGTGCTATCTTTCCCCAGACAATGAGGAGCTCATAATGCAGCAAGGGAAGTTCCAATTAAAACAGTGGAGTCAATCACTTACACCTTAACCCAGGTAATCAGGGTCATTCCTTCCACTCACCTGGCCAGCAGGATCCCTTGGTATTCCTCCAGCTGCCGCATAAAGCTGGGGTTGGGCTTGGTGACTGTGCGCCGCTCCTTCACGTAATCGTACGCCCTGTCCAGGTTCCAGCCGTATTCCTTCATGGCATAGGCGATCACCGTGGATGCCGAGCGGCTCACTCCCATCTTGCAGTGCACCAGGCACTTGGAACCATTTTTCCTGAGGTGGAAGAAAGACAAAAAGAGGATCATTAAATAGAAAACACGGCCCCTGAGAAGCTTAAGAAAATAACTTCTTTACCAGAGCATTATCAAACATATTTTCAACGCTGTGGCCACAGTTGGAAGTCTGGGATGGGATCTGATAATCCAATTTACAAACTGGAGCAAGACACACAAAGAAAGTGAAGAACAGGGTCTTAATATTCTTAACAGATTTTGTTACAACAGCTCTGCTGAAGCTTTTATCACACACGGACACACATCAGCTGTTTGCATATTCGTGAAGACTGCTAAAGACTAGTATGGCACCCTTGAACTTAGCCCCAGCGGCACATGGGTATTAAGCAGTATTCCAAATGAAAAGGGCCTCCATATATCACACAAATGTGGTGTCACAGTGCTTAAGTACTTAAGGGAATACAGTGACACCACCTCAAATAAAGCAAGTCTCAAACCATATTCAAACAAGGCAGCCTGTAAAGGCTATGAGAAATTGCAAGCACCAGCTACGGTTAAGAGATGAGAGACTTCTATAATGGTAATAATACTTTAAAGGCAACATATGCCAATCTGCTTTCTGACCAGTTTTCCCTTAGGAAGGCTGCTGAATTAACTGGAGACAGCTCATGTAACTGGGATGCAGTTCTCTGCAGTAAAAAAGCCCTACTTTCAGCACCCGCTATCAGATTACTCACTATAACTGACAGCTCAGAGAGCTACACAGGCACTTACTCCTGTTTAAAGGGAAGAGTTTACTCTGGAGCTTTACACTACAAGAAATCACTTCCAGACTTTGGGCTTCATCATACAACCTCACAATGCTTCTCACTTTTGTTAAGCCCTGCTCAATTTGTTACTGCCCTTTCCTCCCTCCAGCACCTCTCCAGATCCATTGCATTTCCTAAGCAGCAGACAAACTGCTAGCTCTCCAGTACAGGAATTACCCATTCCACTGATTGTCTGGACTGCAACTGGGCAGAAACCCCTCACTAGTCCTACCTGCTCCTTGTACAACCACCTACAAGAATGAAAACATGTTGAAGGCAACTCTTAGCCAGAAACTACAAAGTGAAAATGCTTTGATGCCAGGTATGCAAGGAAAAGTAGTTAAGAAAATCAGTAGGAAAATATAAAATACTTAATATACATCTTCTAAATGTGTCTGTTCTGCTCTGAAAAGACTTACTTTGCCTTGGAGATGAATTTGTAGGTGTCATTCCAGTAAGCCAGAAGGTCTGTTGCTTCTTCATCATACACCCGAATATTATGGTATTCAAAGAGCCCAGGGAAGAAGTTATCTATTTCACGAGTCACATTCAAGATATACCTCACCCTGCATGGAAACAGAGAGCAGATGAAAATGCAGAATGTGCAGAACACAGCAAGTTCAGAGGGAGATCACAGCTGCCACACAACAGCCTTGCCTTGCGAGTGGCAAACTCACAGCATTTGAAGTTGCAGTCTTGCACACACCTCCTTGGAAACCAGGGCTCAATGCAAGGAAGCAGCAGCTGATACAGACAAAAGGTTTGGCTGAGCAATTTTGAGCCTAGCCTCTGATAAAGGGGCTTCCGCCCATGCTGGATAGAAACTTCCTTTACAGCATGTCAGGTTGCACACTGCTTGCCCACCTAACTTAGCAACACTTGTGTCACAGGAGCTCCTGTACAGCCTGTTCAGGTCGTGTTTGGACACTTTCTCCAAGCCCTTTTGTGAATCTCTTCTCCTGCTGCACCAGGAAGATTGAAGATACCAGCTCGTGAGCTACAACATAGCTAAACAAATGTGTGAAGTAACTACAGAGAGATGCAACGGACAATGAGCCACTGGGGAGGCTTTATTTCTTATCCCTTAATTTTCTGGAAAGGAAACTGCTGCGGAAAGCATATGGTATTTATGTACATTACATCGAGTATTTTTAGCCCTGAGGGTTACTCGTAAGATGCTTATGAACTGCACTCACACTGGGCTACCAGACAGAACAAGAGCACTGCAAGGGACTGACATCCCTTTTCCCTAGCGGGTATGAGAGCGCTGGCAGTCAAACAGGACCTGTCTGACCCAAGGGAACTGGAGCAGCCCCTGAGCTCAGCGAGGAGAGCCCCTTTGGCCAGGCTGCTTTTCTGAGGTACAGGTATGGGAGCTATTCAGTTCAGCAGTGATTCGTTTTCTTTCCACTGGATGTGGCACAAATAAGCCAGGCCCATAAATAATGATTTAACTGCAAAAATCTTGTTGCTTAGCTCCACCCAGCCTAGAGAAAGGACACTGTAAGCTTAAGCCTGAAAGGGCAGGAGACAGAGGAACCCATCAGTGTTAAGTGTGAGAGCTACAGGACTTCCTCCTGGGCCCCACTCAAAACAACAAATGCTCTTTTTACACGTTTTCCTTCCTGCTGCAGTCCGGAGGTGCAGACCCCAAAGTGCCTCTGTAACCATGAGACCTCAAGTCCAGAATAACGGGCTGAAGCAGAGGGCACAGAGCCAACCACACAGCATCCAGTTAAGTAATTGTGGCTTTTTGCTACTTATAGCTGTGAGATTGCTGGCTTCCTTTGTTCACTAAGGGGATGTCAGTCAAGGTGAGGGAACAAGACTCTTTTACTTTAGGGTGCCTGTTTGTGGGATGCAGAGTTTGGAGGAAGCAAGAACTTGTCTGGATCTGCAAACCCTTTAGTAAGACTTAGGTTACACAGCAGGCATGGAAGAGAATTTGTTGCACAGACAAGTGTCGAGGCCAGGCTCCTGCTTTTAAGCTGACAGCCTGAAGCTACTTACCCTCTGTTCTGCAAGTCTTCCAAATTGGAGGCGTTCCATTCCGAGCCCTGCAGGGAGAACATGCAAAGGGACGCATCAGCCAGAAGGAAGACACAGCCAGACAACTGATGGAGGGAGGGACTGTCACCAGTGACCTGGAGGAAGAAGCTGGCCAGCCAAGTACTGGAGAGCAGAGGGGATCTTTTGAGTACATGGGTACACAGAAGAGTGGTAACAATACTAAGGTTCAGCACCTTATCTTGCCCCATTGAGCAGATCTACTCTGAAGCAACAAACAGCCCTGCAAATCAGAAGCCCAGCACCATACCCTGGCACTTCCTATAAACCACTCACAAACCAACCTCAGCAAAGATGAAAACGCTCCACCCTTTCCCTGGAGGCTGTGCCAGCTCTACCCCACAGAAGACAGACTGCCAGCACCATCCAGGTGCTCTTTATGCATGAAACGCCTATCTCACACATCAAAGGCACCAACAAGGTAAACTCACTTGGGTTACACCTTGTCTCCCCATGTTCAAAGCCTGTGTGAGCAGAAATAAACACGTTTAGCCCTGGCTAGCTCACCCTGGCCAGCACACACAGGGCCTCCAAGCTGCTTGCTTCCTGCTCAAACACATAAATCCCGATTGAGGACAAAACCACTCAGGCAAAGGCTTCCTTCAAAATTTAAGGTGCACAAGCTATCTGCTTCCCTAAATTGAAAGATGGTTCAAATACAGGAGTAAGCAAGAGGGACTCTGGTAGCACTACCATCACCAGCAGAAGAGCACTGCTCATGGCTGCTCCCATGGCACAGGCTTCCACACCACCCAAGGTTCAGGCTGAGCCAGCCCTTGGAGCATAATCACTGCCTGCCTGCAAAGCCTGTCAGCCAGGGAGTTAGAACATCCCAGTCTTGCAGCGTCCATCCAGAGGATGGGTTGCTTCTTGCCACAGAAAGCACAGGCACCCTGTGCCTGAGATGGGGGAGCTCCAAGAGCTCTGACTCACAGGCACACAATGGTGCCCATGACAGCACTTCCAGAGAAATCCTGAGCACTCCCAGCCCATGTCTGGATGTACACGCACAGGAAAGGGCCGTGTTGCTATTCTGGTAGCTACTGGGGATGTCTGTTGTCTTCTCTTGACGTGAAAAGCAGCTCATTCTTCCCAAGAACCACTTCCTAAGAAAAATCATCATAATGAAGATACCATTCAAGAGCTCAGCACAGATGGAAATCTCAATTTTGAGCAGGGTAAAAGAGCAAATGTTACATGCCATGGCAGCACAGATTACACCAGAATCCATCGCCTTCAGCCACAGAACAGGGCAGCTCCACCAAAGTCCAGAGCTGTGCACAGTCTGAAGGATGAGTATGGTGGCTCTTGCTATTCAGGATGTGCCAACAACTATATTGTGATCCCTGCTGTATTCACCCTGGCCCCCAGCCTTAGTTAACTTCATGTTCTCTCTTCCTGGCCAAGAAAGAATACTTTAATTCAGGCCTGGGAAGCATCAGTTTCCACAGGTATGGAGAACAACGCTGCAGTGGTGAAAACCTTTTCTCCTATCCTTTGATCCACAATTACCAACACCATCAGATCTCTTACTTCCTGCTTAGTTATTTTAGCACTCCGTAAGTGGGATCCCACAGGGCTCTTGCCTCTACCTGGAAGAAAACAGCTCCATGCCTCACTTTGCCTTGCAGTATAGACACTCCTGAATTAAGCTGGTGCCCAGCCCCAGCAGTGCTGCTCCTCACCGCAGAGCTGCTTTGCAGATACTTCTACTCCACACATTAGCCACAGCTCCTTCAAGCCTTGTTTTAAAGGTCTTGTTCCTATTAAATACACTCTGAGCCAAGACTCCAAGCCCTGCAGCGCACTGAACTGCCTGCACTGCTTTCAACTAGCACTGTAAGGCTGTGAACAGGTCTTTCTCTCCACAGAACACATAGTTTGCAAAAATAAAACCCATTACATTGTAGTACATTACAAAGTACATTGTACTTTAATTTTCCTGGCTCTACCCCACCACAGTTTCTCAGAAGCACTCACATTAACATACACCATTGCTTCTGAGCCACAGCACTAAGCTTTAAGGAGACTGGGAGAGGCCCTCTCCATTTGGAAAGCCCAGCAAGTCCAAGAGGAATGGCTTTGTTTTAAGTTGAGCCAACCTCATAGGTTTCCCAACCAAACCTGTGTCTGTTGCTCCAGGGCTGGGAAATCCAGTGGAACGCTGACTCACCAGAAGGAAGTGCAGTAATTAGACAGGGCCTAGCAGCAATGAAAGGCAACTAAGCCAGCAAAACATTAGCAGGCCAAATGTTTATGTTTCCTTAAGTGACTTATCTTCAGGATTCTTCATTAGGCTCCTCTGTTCCTCCTGGATCACTTGAGCTTTCCATGTTACAGGAGTGCGATTCCACCTGAACATCACACAGCTCTCCTGAAACAGTTCCCCTCCCTCTTTGCTGTAGATATCCCCTTCCCAGACACACTCCAAGAACTTGCTGTGTGGATACCCTGGACAGTTAAAGCTACAAAACTAGTCTTGCATCAATGGAAATAGCCCTGAAAAGTAGTTAGAATTAAGACTTTTTGCCTTCCATCCTCTAGTGTCTCAGAACACCAGGTTGGAAGGGACCTCAAGGATCATGGTCCAACATTTCTAGGCAAAGCACAACCTAGATTAGTGACAGGGTCTACAGCTTGGCTGGTGTTGTATGGCAAAGTTTAGCACAGCCAAGAAGCCAGACTGCTCTTGTTCAACAGGACTAGTGTCTTGCTTAAGACTATGTGACCCCAGGATCAACCAGTCTCTCCTTCAGAGTTCCAGAGTTCCTCCAGAGACCTCTGTGCCAACTGAGACATAGGGAGATGTGCTTGGCGAGTTTACATTTGAATTCACTGTAAGACTTACCAGGAAGACATGATCAAATATCTGTGTGGGGCTGTCCATCTGCCCAAGGATCACTATCATTTCATTGTCAATGAACTCTTTGAACTCCCGCAGGTTACACACCATCTGCATCTCCAGCTCGGTGCGTATCTGGGTGGGGAGGAGGAACACAAAGAAGCCATGTGAAGGTTTTGTTCTAGCCTTTCATCATGGCATAAAGCACAGAGCTCTCTGGCTGGCACAACAGCACTTCCAGTGCTGTTCCCTCAGCACTCACCTCTTTTGAGGTGATGTTCTCCAAATCTTTCTGCATCATGATCTCCCTTAACTTGGTCTTAATCAGCCGTTCTGTGCGTTCCCGCTCAGTTGGACTGTCAGAAGAAAGCAAGAAGAGTCACCAGAAGGAGAAAGAAGCTGGACTCATGGCACTTTTAAACAGGTATTGTATAGACTGGGTACTCTGCAGCCTCAGATACTCATGCTACTTCCCCCAAGAACGTCCTCAGCTGGAGGGAATTCAGGTGACTGTAAAGCCCAGTTTAGATTCCTGGTTGTGTATGAAAGAGACCAACCAAATGCTCCTAATCCATTGTTGTCATCTAAAGAACCTCTGGTATTTGGTAAAATTTAAATTGGGAAGGCTGCATTATACTCTCTGGAGCAATATCTAAGCCTCCCCCTACCTTTCTTGGAAAGGTAAAAGCTCCAAAGCTCCTTACATGGAGAGACAAGGGCAGCTAAGCCTCTGTGCATTCCTCCAGCCTCTGCTGCCAGGGGCCTTATCACCAGCTGCAAAAATAGCCTGACTAACACCATGGGAGGTTGCAACAGAGCAGTGGCCCAAAGCTGTTTCACCCATCCTCTTTAGAAGGGACCCAGCAGTAACATCTCACAGCACCTTTCCATTTCCCTGGAAGACTGCCTGGGTGGTGACTGCACAGACACTTCTCTGCTTTACCAGTGCCCAACTGGTGGTTCATAAAGATCATCAATGTTCCTGATTCTCTTAACCTCATGCATTATTCCAGGACTCAATTAAGGGAATGCTGTCTCGGTGTCCCCAGGAAATCATTCAACTGCTGCCACAGGGGAAAGGATGGGTGACACAAAATTTATACATAATAAGCCAAAAGGGAATATTAACCTGACAGCTTGCCAAAACTTCTCAGCCACCTTCCTTGTACATTAAGAAACAATCAAGTGTGAAGACTTGTTCACAGCTGAACAACTGCTCACTGCTCATTATTCACTCACTGAACTCCAACAACAGGAAATCTCTGAGAGCATAAATCAACCAACAGCACTATAATCTGTGAGAGCAGCTGGGGTTAGTGAAGTCATTTCTTCTACTACAAACCAGGCAACTAAGCTCTCACGCTCAGCATCACATCTGGACACAGACTACCTCTGACGTTCTGTGGTATCAGTACCATCTGCGATTACTAATTACAGAGGTTGCAAACCTTGAATGCTGATACAGGCTATAACCTTTGCCTTTCCAAACTGTCACCTGTCTACCTCAGCCACTGTTTTGGGCCATATGGCACCAGACATCCAAATGTTTAGCTGGAGACAGCTTGGGACCTATACACTGTCCTGCTCCACACTTGCAGACTCCTCAAAACACAGAAAAACTGTTTTGCTCTTTGTCCCCATTCTCAGGTGTGTCAGCTGGATGCCTATAAGGATGCTCCTGAGCTCATGGTCTCAAAAGTCTGTACGTAGACACTTTACAGCAAAATTAACTGAATAAGGAATAAAAGAAAACACCATGTTACTCTAAGCATGTGCCAGCGTAAGAGCAAAGTCCAGAGAAACCTATTCCTTTCAGGAGACAACAGGCCTGGAAACCAGAGGACAAAACCAGCAAAGAGGAAAGTCTAGGTACTAGAATACACCTCACCTCTTGCTAGTAACACAGGACTTACCTTGCAGAAGATCTGCAAGCCTAAAGGGCAAGGTAAACAACTAGACTGAAAACAGAAGCTGAAGGAGATGCAAGGGAGCCCCGGAGGGGTAAACTTCCAGTGCTGGTGTCTACCTAATCAGGGGTCTGTTTATTACCTGGAAGATGAAACCTCTCCTCATTAATACCTAATTAAGAGTAATCTCTTTTGGAAACTTCTCATTTGGAGGCTGCAGTGCTTGACAGCCAAACACTTGGGCTCAGCAGAGCGAGCCCAACTTACACATCTGTGAAGAGGGCGGGTGAGTCAGGCCGGTGGGACTGGACATCTTGCATGGCATTCCACTCATTGACTGACGACTGGTCGGAGTTGATATGGCTCTCATAGTAACTGACCCACGTGAGGAAGAGGCTCCCTGGGTAGTAATTGTTGCTCCGTGCCACCTCGCAAGCTTTATGTAAACTCTGAAGGGCAGACCTAGAAAGGGAAGAACACTTGCAGGATTGCAATGTTTTTTCCTCAGGCTGGTATCAAGCACAAAGCAGCAGCCAAATCTGGGATGCTGCTCGGGTCCCATCAGTCAGTACAAACCCCAGTGCTACAGGCAACAGCTCCCATCACTGAGGAGGAGGCTGTCCTGCAAAGGCATGGATAACCACATGCTTGCATGCCCTAACTGAAGTATGCCAAGACAAGCCTGGGTAGCAGCAAAGGTGCTCACAATTGAGATGACAGAGGCACCTCTGTTTCTGACTCCAAAACCTGCTACAGCTACCCAAGCCAAAAACCAGGATGCACAGAGTTTGTGTCCGAGCCATAGTGCTCTGACAGCTCCTACTGTGCCATCAGATTCCCTGGACACCCAGGAGTCAGACATGGAGAGCTGCACAACCAAGGGCTCAGTACTTGACTCTACTGAAGTGTTTGGGTGCCCACCCTCTCTCACGAGGGATGTCAGAAGTTTCTTCAGCTGCCTCTGGCAAACAAATCTCCCCCCTCCTATTTTTAGCTTGTTTTAAATCTTCGATTGGGATCAGAAGGATCCAGGTCAAAATCACTTGGGTGACAGTAGCATGACAACCTGACAGGCAATGTATTTCTGCAATGCAAAGAAGCTTGAGCCAGAAATACTTTCATGGCCTCTACATTCTTACATGGGCCACCCTAAAAGGAAAGAAAAATGCAGGCAGCATCTCTTTCCTTCTTGCTATCACAATGAACATGGCTCGGTGGAGACACAGACTCCTAAAATATGCACAGCGTGTGTTCCCCAAATTTCAAACACATGCTCAAAGCCAATTCCACTTCGGAGGGATTCAGAGCAGCAGCTCTTTGCAAGGAAACTGACCCTATTCCTTCCTACCCCCAGCCAAGATGAAGGTACAGCTGCAGCAGAACTATAAACTCACTGCTCTATACCAGCACTTGCATGTTTTCTTTTTCCTCTAGTAGTCAACTTCCTTCCCTGTCTCTGAAGGAGACTTCTGGCTGCTCAAGTAGGTCTCAAGATACCAGTAACACAAAACAGCACCTGAGCTTTAAAAGCTCAAGCAGCCAAAACACCTTGGAAGAAGGATCACTGGGAAGTACTTACCACATTGCCTGCACAGACACCGGCTTGAATATGTGAACCCTGTTATCTGTTGATACGCTGAACCCTCTGGAGAGAAGGGGAAAAAAGCACAGTAAAAATGTAGCCCAAAAGCCACTTATTTGTTATTAACTGATAATTTGTAGCACATCAGAACAGCAAATGACTAGCCCTATGCATAAACTGCTGAGCTCAGCTAGCAAACAGATCAAAATAGCACACTAAAAGCTCTACGATAACTCTTTTTAAGCAGCTGCTGTTCAGGAATGAAACCAAGACAGTGGGACAGTGCTGGGCTGTGCTGTTTACCTTGGCAACACAAATTCAGTGCCACAGCTGGGAGCAACAGAGTCCAGCTACAGTGATCCTGGGGCAGCTACCAAGGAAAGAAAAGTCATTCCATGCACTGCACTAGACAGCCTTTGTAACTGGCACAAACAGGAGTCTGCAAGTCAGGTGTCTATTTGGCAGACAAACATCATTCTTATTTTCTGTTCAGCTGAATGCTGCCTGCTGCAGCATGATGGAGGCACATAATAGGATCCCTTTAAGGAGCTTTCACTATACACCCACTCTTCAGGAAAAGCTCCTTTACTCCAGCCTAAACACACACATAAGCCACTGTCTCAGTGCGAGTTTGTTCACAGATAAGTCAATTATTGGTGTTCCCTGCCACAACCACTGTGATTTAGGGCCTCTGAGCCTACTAACCCCATAGTGGTCAACAACAGGTCTGCTGGACCGGTTAGGACTCTGATCATTTGAATCCTTCCCCATACACCGCACTGCAAACTCACACCAGAGACCCTATCCATCTAGGACATACAAAAGACACTCACCCATCCCCATCCAGGTGGATCAAGGTGTCACTCCACAGCGGCAGCACCAAGCCCATTGTACAAGTGCTACTGTAGTAAGAAAGAGAAGGTCAGCCCATCTACTATAGCACCATGCTATCATTCTCATTTCACAGCAATGGTTGTCTGGTTTTGTACTTATTAGGAAAAAAATGACAATCCCACTGCTGCTTCAGGGACAAACCGTGCTGGTGTTGTTCTACAGGCAAGGATCATTTGCCACATACAGGGTACAGCAATACTCTGGCAAGCAAGCTTAAAGGGTTAACATACACCCAAGAGAAGAGCAGACAGAATTCAAAGCAGCAAGCTTTGTGCAGAAGATCAGAGGGGGCTCACAGTCTTCAGTCAGCTCAAGGCTTTTCTTTACAGATTAGTCCCTCTCAGGCTCAAGTGGTTTGGTTCTAGCTCTGATTTTGCAACCCACAGCTTTGTTTTCTTCTTTGTCCCTCAGTCCCAGCAGCTGGGAACTGGGACCAGTTGTAGTGCAACAGCAGGGTGATTAGCAGCAAGGCAGGTCTGCAATAACAGCCTATCGCCCACTGTTGACTCCTGACTTCTTCACCCTCCTGCACCTCGAGGATGAGCACAACCCACTGAGACAGACACCTCTTGGCAATCCCACTCCTCTCCCAGTTGCTTTGACCTCTTTGCCCTTAGTCACCTGCTCTCTGTAAGGCTGAGCAAAAAGCCAAGTTAAAAGCAGAAGTCAAGCAAAAAGGAAGTCAAGGAAGAAGGAAGGGGAACCCCAACGCAGCCTGCACCAAGTGGTCAAACAGAAAAGCTGACTCTCTGTAAGCTGTCAAATTGGTCCATAATCAAAACAGCATCTGGAAGAACTGGATTCTTCTCTATCTTGCTCTTATTCTTTGTAGTAGCTGCTCTCAAATTTCCACAAGCCCTAACACCTCTGTCAGTGCCTGCAGCTCATGAGAAGTGGGGGAAGAGGGCGAGACTCAAAGCTTCAGAGGGTCAGCAGACATGAAGCCCTGTAAATGTACATGCCTTGGAGCGACTGGTGCCCAGCACAAGGAGACACTGTGGCACGCAGCTATTTCTGTTGACAACATGAGATGAGCTCATGGAAAGTTGTGTTTTCAAAGGCTTCCAAAGGTGGCCAGGGTATTTTTAGTGACACTGTTCAGCAGGCGCTTATCAGAGACCATAGCAACAAGTCTACATTGAGTTATAAATACCAAGTGGGCTAAGGGAGGCTGTATCAGACTGACCATCCAGAACTGAAGTAACTCTAGCAGAAAGCTAAAATGACCCTGCTGCGTTATTAGAGATGAATACCAGTGAGCTCTCAGTTATCAAAGGTGGCTGTGCTGGTACATCACAGCCAATAGCAAACTCCAAGCTCACAGCAACCTGTGCAAGGACAAATGATTCTTGGCCTACCACAACTCTGAGATACAGCTGTGCACACACACACAGGAAGGGAAACAGGAGCCAGTGGAAGCATCAAGCTGGCCCCTCTTTTTATCAGACATCACTTAAGCTAAGTGTCCAAACCAAGCCATGTGAAATTAAGGATGGCGGCTGCTGTGATCAGCAGCCTGGTTGGAAGCAAGTTTCTTGGCCAAACAGTTTCATAGGAAAGGAATCACTAGGGTATTCCAATGTATGCAAAAAACTTACAACTCATGTGCCTCCATTCCTCCCCCAAAGTGCCCCGTGTCCCCCTGTAAATGTGAAGCTTCTGCCCCTGAAGCTGTTGGAGGTGCTTCCTCCTGGCTTAGAGTCGCTCCAGCAGCAAATGCTGCTTTCCAGCCACATTCTGCAGCCGTTTGGAGAGGTCAGCAGCAATTTAGATGAAGGAAGCAAAAGCACAAAACCCTGATGACATACTGATGTCTGGGGAGAGGACACATTGTGCAAGATCTGCCATCAGCAACCCTCATGTTCCCATCAGGCTCTTTCTGCCAGGACCTTGGAGGAGCTGCCTGACAGTCACCCTCTTATTAGCTGCTCTCCCAAACCTTGATGTCCAGCTTTTCTAATTGCAGCTTTTTCTTTCTTTGCATCCAAGTTGTCCCTGTCTCTGATGTGCAGATGCAGGATTAGAGACCTCACCATTTAGAGACACTTAAGGGCACTCAACATCCTCACACAAGCTGGAGGAATGGAGGAAATGCTAACTTGCACTGTCACCTTCCCATTTGCCACCTCTTTTTGAGAAATAAAAGGGGAATTCTGGATCTCAAAAAAGGTGTTAGCTGGAAAACCTGAAGCACTCTATCCCCAGAAAGCATGGACACCAGACAGAGACTTCTACACTTGACATGTGGGTGAACATGAGGACTTCCCCCACGTGGACACTGTGAGTACCTGTCATTGGAAGAGAAATCCATTCCTAGGACAATGCTCTCTTCGGTGTCTTGTCTGCCGTTGGTGGACACGACCACCATGTATCTAGTGCGGTTCTGGTAGGTGCTTTCCAGTCTTACGGCCTAAAGGAAGGAAGGGGAGAGATCAGCAGTGCAGCCAGCAAAACACACACCCCATTACCTTTACAAGCCACTTGTTCATGCTGAGTGACAGGCGCAGAAGCAGTGATGCAGTTTGCACTTGTACTTCTCAGCTGGGTAACCAGCTGAAGAGGGAGAAGCAACTTACTCTCTTATCCAAAGCTTTCATCAGCAGTGGGATGTTCCTGGTGCCTTCTGCACACCCTGCTGCAGGCCTGCCCTGTCCCACTAAGGCTGTGTTTAAACATCAGCCTACAGGACTGGCTGCCACAGTCCACTAAGCAGTCCTAGCCTAGAGAGCTTCATTGAGCATTACATGTTCAGAGAGATTGGTGTTGAATGTAATCTTCACCTCTTATAGGGCTTTGTCCAAAGACCTAGGGCTTGGCTTTACACTACTTTGTGCTGCAACAGCTCCAATGAGACTTTTTGCACCACTGTGCCAGGCAGCTGGGCAGAAATGCAGGATCTAAATCAGATGTGGTTTCCTCTGAATCCTTCTAGCAGCTTCCCCAGTGCAGAACCAACCTTACTGCCGTACACCTGTAGAAAAAGACTTCCCTATCACTAAGCTGTACCCATGGGTGCATTCAGATTGCCCAAAGAAGGTAAAAATCACTATGCCTCACTGTTCCTACCACAGTCACAAGCACCCCAGGGCCAAAAGAGAGATCTAGCAGGGCTCACCCTGCACTCCCCCAAATCAAACAGTACTGACAGCAATCAGAAAGCAGCCATGCTGCCAAGTTGTGAATGGCAGACCAACAATGAAGCTCCTGAAAGGTTACACTGAAGTACACAACTCCTCCAGAAGCCATGAGGAAGTGAGAGCTGAAGTGACTCCAGCAAGTCCTCTTACAGACAGGCTGCTGGTGAGTGAGGAGCCTGGGGAAGGGAGCCCGGCATTGCAAGTTTTGTCCATAACACCTGCAGTAGGCAGCCTTCACTTGCAACACTCTTTGGACTCTGTTCCACATCATTTGCAGCTATTTTAGTCACAGACAAACTATGACATCCCTACAAAGGAAGTGTCGTAATCATGTATATCAAAGCTTGCTTAACTTTAGACAGCTTAATCCAGCCCCAAGACACTGTCTGGCCTCTGTGTTTACTATATGGTTAAACTGCTGCTTAAACTTTGAGCAGGGCCTGCAGAGAGCAAACATGGGCAAGAAGGAGCTATCACAGCCCAGCCTTGCCCCATGCTGTGATGGGAATCAGTTGAATTCCTTGTGATCCAACAGGTGAAGCTCAAAAGTGGCTGACACCTTCCCAAAGCGAACCTGAATTCCCCAAACACCAGCAGCCCTCCCTCCTGAGCCAGTTCTTGTGTAGACATCTCTTGGTGGCCCCACAGGAGTTCATGGCTCGCACAGCCCAGTTTCAACAGTCATTTTACCCTTATATAAAAAGCTCACAAAATAACTACTGTGTGGAATCTCTCAGGAGTAGGCTGCTCTTCCCAATATGCTCCTTTAGCTCTTTATAACTTGGTCTTGAGGCCAGAATGGCACCTTGTAGGTTAGAGGAAATCCCCTCTGAGCTCCTCACACCTCACCTGTCCAAGCCAGTAAGTCTTGGCCACAAGATGTGGCAGTCTACAATAAAGATTCAAACAGCGCAGGCAGCTGAAACAGAGCTCACTACATTCACCAGAGTGCTCTACTGCAGCTGAGAGCAGCAGGGAAAGCTTCCCAGTGGCATTGCAGGGAGCAGCAGCTCTAGTGATAGGGATAGAACAGCAAGTGCAGGCAACAAATGGTGTTGACTGTCTTCTAGACTTATCCAATGGGACCAAAGAGTAACAGAAACTACTCAAAAGCTGATGCCAGCAGACAGATGTGCTCTGCACAGCCAGAGACTGTGCCCCACCCCATCTCTTTAGGATAAGTCATGCTAAAACCAGCCTTATTTTCCTTCTTGCTCCTCGAGTCACTGGGATTCCTTTGGAAACACAGAGGATCAGAGTGGTCAGTCCTTCAGGGTGTGAATTCTGCCCAAGACAGCTGTTTCTACAACTAACCACTTGCAGCGAAACAGAAAGGATGCTCTTCAACCTAGAAGAGCAAACAGTCACCAAGATCTTGGTGGTTGAAGTGATTATCTACATTAGGAACCAAACCTCAAACAGAAACCCAGACTTTGCTAAAACGGGAGCGGATGGGCAACAGATGCCCTGTGTTCGGGGCACCCACACCTCAGTCCTGTTCTGCTTCTCTTGAGGACAGTCCAGCAGCAAGAGGACTACTATAACTTACTTTGCTAAACCAACTTGGCTAGCAGTAATAGGAAGCGTGGTCTTAACACAAGACCCTTTAGAAAAGGGCTGGACAAACAGCAACCAAAGGTCACGTAGCTTCAAGTCAGTGTGGTGGGATTTTCAGAGGGCTGCTTAAGAGACACAGGCATGGCTTACTGTGGTTCTCTCGATTTAACACTTAGAACCTTGCCACAAAGCAAAGAATCATGACTGGAGCAAAGTGTCCTATTAATTTACTAGAATAATCAACCAGCAAACCTGACATCATAAACCAGCCAACCTCAACAGTTCCTATTAGAGCTCTACACAACCATCAAACCACAAATTAGTCTCCAACCTTTTCATTAAGTGCTAGTTCATGTGCTCACCCAATAACAGGAGTGCACCGAGTGGTCTGATGCCTTTTGAATGAAGAGATTAGACATCTCAGTCTAGGGAGGAGGTTCTGGCTTCACGGACTGCAATGAGATGGAAGGTTCTTTCTCAACAGCTTCACAGAGCTAGCTTTCTCCTCAATTTGGGAATGTTATTTATAGCGTGTTCATGAACACGTCATCCCCTGCAGCCCTTTCAGCAACATTTTTCTCAGTTTCAGGCTCACCTAAACACAACCCAACTTTTATCTTCTGCTGCATTCTTGTTTCATCAGAAGTATGATGTGGTATTTCGCCAGCCCTTACAAACACATTCCAAGAAGTTCATGCTGACCTTTCATTTTTCTCATGCTACATGATAGGTGTTTCATACAAGAATACATTTCTCATTGGGATATTTGAAAACAAAAAAAGGTGCCCAAGTCTTCTCTTATTACTGACACATGCAAGTGAACAAGTCCCCACTCTGCTAAGCTACAGGAAAACACTCACTCAGTTTGTATTCTTAACTCATTTTCCTCTTTCCTACTGATCTTGCAGTGGTACCACTGCTCTAATCCTGCTCCCATGGAAGGCTAAAAACCTCTGCCAACAGCTCCAGCAGAAACAAGAGTTGCTCCAAATCTGAAGTGTAGGTTTATGGAGGATTAGATTCCTCTGCTGCCCTCTGAGCTGTGAAGTCTGCCCTCCAAATGGCAGCAGCCAACACAAGAGAATGCATTTCTCTCAGTAGTGTTTGTATTTCAAATCTCACTTGTATCTACTGCTTTATGAGAGAGTCTATTGCAGCCCTGCACACCCTTCGTTCGTCAAGAATCAATTAAATTCAAGTAGACTATCGAACTTAACCTCACGCAAGATTTCAGCATTCCAAATGTAACTCGGAACAAAAGGGTTTATGTCTCAGCCCACAAAGTCCTTATTCAGCTGTTAAGGCTAATTTGTCCCAAATCACACAATGTAGCCAGTGATATTGCTGAACAATGACTTGTTCAATAGCTTCCAATGTTCTAACCCTGGCTCAGATTCTGAAAAGCACCAAGAACCTCCACTCCCATCACTTTTGCTGGAATTTTCATGACAGCAAGGTGTGCCTGACCAAGCTTAGGAGCAGGTCCTTTTGTTTGCTTGTAGCAGGTTATTTTTGGTGGTCACTTTGAAAGTTAATGCATTCCACGGTCATCTTGACTGTTTCCTAGCTATACTCATACAATCAGTTCAGCACCAGGAGGATTCATCAAACCAGAGGTGCCAGAATAACGCTCCTGATGCTGGCATCCCTACTTTGGGCATACGTTGCTAAGATGCACTAAGACAACACAGGAAAGAAACTTCAGGCTACTGAGTGATGAGAGATGCAGATACACTGCAGTCATGCCTGACCTTGTAGAGCACTTCAGTGCGTCCTAGACAAATTCCTCACTGCTGCTCTTTGGCTTCTGGAGGTCTGTAGGACTGTGTATCAATGCTATAAACAGCAATGCCTTTCATTCCATCATTATAAAACAACCCAGAAAAGCAGAAAGACAAGGTTCAGTTTAGGTGCATAGCTACTTGGGGATCCCATATGCTCCTTCCTGATAAGCCATGGCCTTTTGCGATGCAACAAGTTAGGAGAGCAGAGTGAGGAACACAACTGAACTAATGTGGAAGGGCAGGTATTCACACCGGCCAGACCTACTCTTGATTTACACAGGACACAAGCTAACTTACCCAGCTTCCCTGGCAATTGTTACAGTACTTTTTGAGAGCGTAAGTATTTGGTTCAAAGGCAGTCTCCCAGCCAAACTATTTGTCTCACTGGCCAACCAAATAAGCCTTTCATAATTAACTGCTTTTCTACCTCTGTGATTGGAAAGAAGACTCCCCAAACCCACTCAAGCCTACACACACCACTGCCTTCATGAATTACACAGGTGTATTTGTCAAGTGGAACTCAACCTTTATACTCCTTAAGAGCAGATAAGCAAAAAGCCAACCTACCAGTCTGATGTTGTCTTCTGGGCGGAGCAGTATGAACATGGCCTGCAGGTGTTGCTGGAGATCCCCTGCAGGCAAGAAGGAAAGGTGAATGCAGGGAAATAGTGGGAAATCACATGCGAGTTCCTGGCTGTCCAGCCAGAGCAAACATCCAGCAAGAAACCTGACACGTCACCGAGAGCGTTGGCACTTCCACCCTCAGAGATGACAAAGCTCCAGCTCTTAGTCAGCTGCTCTTTGCTCCATGTGCTCACCCGTTTCCATCTTACCATGCTCTTCTCTCCTGCTAAACCCTGTTATCCTTTTAACGGAGAGAAACAGTGTTTTAGTACCATGTTCTGCTGAAAGACAAGGCAAACGAGGCAGAAATGGAGCCCTTCACATCTCATTCTAACCTCATGCTTCAAATCATTATTACTTAGTGCAGAACTAATACCTAGGCAAAAGAATCCCCTTTGAAATGAGATTTAGTCCCATCTCAGAGCAGCACATGCCCATATGAGCTTACGGACCAACACTACTGCCAAAAGCAGCACAGAACTGCCGCCCTAGAAGCCAAGAACCTACAACTGCTCCTAGAAAACACTTGCTTTTTATAGCTGAGGAACACTGAAACAAGAGAAAAAAAAATAATCACAGTCACACAGTAGCTTTTAGAAAGACTTTGAAGAGCCGAGTGTCCCAGGTTCCCAAAGCATCACACCTGAAAGACAAGTGAGGTGGTTGGTACTGCCACGCTCCCTGCCCATAGAGAGCCAAGAGCTTCTCTGCTGAGCAAGCCTGTTACTTTCTGAATGTCAGAACGTGAGAACACCTCCAGCAATGGGCTGGTTTTTCAATTGCTACCTGGAAAATGAATGTGTATTCCCAGAAAGGAGAGTACAAGGCTGCCAGTGGGCGGCATGGATTGGCAAAAGGAGCCTTTACTCTCCCACTCCTCCACATATGGGAAGCGGAGTTCAGGCAACACTACAGGGGAAGAGCACGAATGCTGGAGCAAGTATTCAGCACAACTGGTTACAAAGGCATTTTCTAGGAAGGTTGAGTAACCTTCCTGACCTCCCTTCCTAACTTATCAGGGTGCTAGAATCTGTGCTATTTCATGGACTTTCAGAAATAAGGAAACTTGGGTACGGAACAGCATCCAGAAGTGCCGCAAAAGGGAAAGGTAAGAAAGGAAACACTGCCCAACAAGACGATGGTGCCTGGTTTCCAAATGATTTTTACAGCAGGGCTGCTGCAGCTATCTCCTGATGGGACAGAGACAGGCTTGTGTGGAGAGGGCTGCGCAGGACACGGCATTCCCTGCTCCTGTTCCTTCCTCTTTGAAACACATTTCAGCATATGGAGAATGAGGCAATGCCTTGGGAGTGCATTTTTAACTGGGGTGGAAAAACTCGAGGCACTGCAGCGTGAGGGAAGTCACAGACAACGTACCAGCAACAGCAAGCACATGAAGCTACTTCCTGTCCATGGAAACTGCTCCCAGGGCTGGAGAGGCTGGCATGTGCCTCCCTGAAAAGCAGTTATGCAGGGAGATAGGTAGGAGAGGAAAGGCCAGCTCATCCACCAGATGCTTGTCCTCCTGTGGGTGCAGTGGGAGACAGGATTTCCCCATGTTGACACCAGTGCAAAATCCTACCAGTGCTGCTCATTCCATCAAGTTTCAGGTGCAAGTGCCTGCTGTCTCAACAGGCAAAGGTCTCTGTGCTTCGGGTGGCACCTCCTGCCTGGCAGCCTGGAAGAGCCCAGCAAGTATTTGACTCATGAGACATTCACATCTTAGGCAGCTTAAAACGAAAGTTGCTTCACCTCAGTTTTTCCTTCCCAAGGCATCAGAGTTCCCACCTATTGCTGCCAGTAATCCAACATCAGGAACCAGTTTAAGAGCTGAAGTTTCCAGAGTTTAAAAAACACCACAGAGACTACAGGATTATCTCAATATTTAGAAAAAAGAGAGGAAATTCTAAGACAACCCTTTCTGCAAGGCTCAGTCTAGAAGCCTCAGAAAGTTCATTGCATTCCTCCCTGTTCCCCAGCCTGCCCTGCCAGCCTTGGGAGCTAGGGAGCTGGAAAATGCTTCCTTGGCCAGCTTTAGTTGACTTGCAGGCATTTTCAGCCCCAAACACACAAGGCAGTTTGTAAACTTCCTGGATTAAGAAAAAGCAAAGGAAAAGTTTTAACATGCCAGAATCAGCACAAAAACATCACATCCTGTCCTATGAAGAGCTGTCGGCTTTGCTGGCCTTCATGACAAGACTGCTGCTTCCTATTGCATTGTCCAGCAGATGCTTTTGTTTCCTTCAGCTGGCAGGCTAGGTGCAAAGCATCAGGGAGGGTGGGCTCTTAGAAGTGATTTACAGTATCCCAGACACAGCAAAAGCCCCAGGGAAGCGACATCCTTTTCTCCAGTGTTGCTGGAGTGTAAAAGCAAGCCATAGTCCCACAGAACACAGCCCAGGCAGCGCAGGACCGCTAAGCAAGGGGAGCAACTAGTGGTGTTGAAGTCGATATGATTAAAGAAATGGGTGTAAGCATTAATTATTTCCTGTTATGCATTTACTCTTTATGCTGGATTCTAGCACCTCTGATGAACTGGTCAGGAAGGTTAGTCAGCCTTCCTAGAAAATGCTCACATGGCCACTTGAAACACTATTGCATCCATAGGCAGCAATTTCATACTGGAAAGTTATGTCCGCTCTCTACCCCCCCTTCTAATTTTGTGTGCCAGAGATAGGTCACGACACACACACATGGGAATGAAAGCTGAGCATGGATTATCAGAGCCCAAGAAAGGAGACAGTTGCCACACACTCTGCCAGCTCGCTGCCAGCAGCCGGGTCACCTCACAGCAGAGCCACTCTCAATACATCACTGTTTAATTCTGGTGGCACAGATGTTATGCTCAGGAAGGTGAAACACTGATTGCTTGGTGCCTTGGTCTGCTGGTATGTACTGTACATTAGAGGGGTTCTCAGAAGAGGAAGGTGATGCACACTCTCGTACACAGGTCCCTCTTGAGTGAAACCTCCATGCACCATTAAAGAAATACGGTACCAGTCACACCACTTGACATGCAGGGAAACTGAGGAAAGGACGTGAAATCTCACCACATAAATTGAAGAGACAGGAATAAAAGGAGTCTTCTAAGAACAAAAATCCCAGCCCTTAGGCAAGCCACCCTCTTCAATACAAAACATCTCGCTGGAAGCAATTACAACACACCAGATTTGCTTTCTTGGCAACCTGGCTTTTAAGAGCTTTGGGCTGATTAGGCAAGAAACTCCTTCCCACCAGGGCTTCCAGACCTCATACAGCTCAGCAGTCGTAAGCAGATGAGGCAACAAGAGAGGCTCAAAAGCTGTTCTCATTGCCTTGCCTTGTTCATAGGGAAAACCACCCAGCAGGTCTCCTCTGCAAGGTAAAGCCAAGATAGCAACTGCCAGCTGGAAACCTGTGCTTCAGTGATGCTGAGGACTTTGGAGAGATTAAAACCCAAGACAGGTCAAGATAAACTTTTAACACTGCTGATTCTGCTTTCACAACAATTTCACTTTAATCTCAATCAGAAAATCCAGCTTTAAATTAAGTTTCAGAACAATTTATTTTCCTTTACATCTGGTAATGTATCTCACTCAAAGCAATTTGGGCTCTGCTCACATTGTGTCTGAGTGGAAGTACGTCATTAACTGCCTTTGCTTTGAATTCTTTTTATTAAGAGGTTTGTAAGCAGATTTTGAAGTGGACCAGGCAACTCTCCTGGATGCAGAGCTCGATGACAGCCTCATGGTATCAAAGTACAAAGAAATCTACACCTGGAACCAAACCAAATCACCTTTCGGTGCTCACTTTTTGGCAAAGAAAGTTGACTCCAGGCTCTGTTTCTGCCTCTTTCCCCTATGCAGAAGTGTGAAGGTCTCAATGTTGGGTTTATTTTTCCTGATTGTTCAATGGAAGGGAAAACCCCCACATTATCTGATCCCTGTAGAACGCCACCAGTGAATAAGCACCATACACACAACAAACAACAACCTACCCTGAAATGTTTGAGTTTCATTACTCAGACTGACTTTCCAAACAAACAGTCAAAGCGAAAACACAAATCAGACTTTCAGCAGATAAAGGGTGTGGGATTATGACTGGCTCCATGTTATTCACTCTGCTCACATGTCTGAGAAGTCACACTGACTTTGCTCAGACGTTTCCTCACCACTACGTAGAGGTAAGTCTCCTCCTTTTCCTCCATCATAACCTGTTACTTTCAGGTCAGGAAGAACCATTACTCATACCATATCACAACTTCAAGTTTCCCAGTGTAACTCATGAAGGTTTTGATGGAATCCTGGAGCCTCTCTCTCATACAGAAGTTACAGGATGATATTTTGGGGGGCAGTTGACATCACGGAGAGTTGAGAACACAACTGCTACCCTGATGCCACCCCATTTGTTTGGTTTTGCAGCACAAAGAAGAGAGTACTGAAGCCTTTATTTCTGTTAGCATTAAACATCAGTCTTGAGAGTGGCAGGTCCAGCTTTAATACACCCCTGATGCGAACAGAAATGTGTATTATTCGGTGGGAGTGAACTCAAGAAAGGAAAACTGGGACACAAGAGCGAGCAGACAAGCCTCAGCCATCCCATACAACACGTTACCTGCATGCTTGTTGCGCCTGTGACTGATCCTGGGAGTAGACGACCCATTTCCTCGTGGTAGGAAGAGAGCTGCACCTTTCACAGTGAGGAAGCTTTCGCTGATGCTGCAAGAGGAGGCACAAACAGTGAATAAGGAAAACTCTCCGTTGTCTTTAAAAGCAACAGAACAAGAAAGGTTCAAGGTTCTTTTGCAAGGAAGATTCCCACTGAATTACTTTGTTGGTAAGGAACTCCCCCCCATGTAAGCACTGCAAACATTCAAAGCATAACTGAGAACAACAGGCACAGAGAACCACTGAAAAGCAGAACACACGCCTGGTGCCACACTGCCTGCAGAGGTGGAACCTGAGCAGGCAGAGGGGATTAACCTATGGCTATATTTTCAATTTGAAAGTCAAGATGAGAGCTCCACATTTCTAAAGGGCGATTCATGCAGCAAGCCCACGCACCTCTGTAATTATGGACTCTGGTAACCTTGTGCTTTGGGGTTCAGGCACAGCTGATGCCCTCCAGAAACAAATGTCTCCCTTCAGCACTTAGCCAAAAGAAAATCAGTGTACGTAAGGGCTTAAGAAACCAGGAAACCACTGAGTCATATGATAATTGACTCGAAAACTTATACATTGAAAGCAAAGCTGTAATGCTGTTGAATTCAAAAATCATTTACTGCCTTCAGTTTGCCCTTTCTGAAGTCACACGAGGAGAGGTTTGTGGAAAGGGACAATAGAGAGTTCTCAAGTTCTGTGGAAGAGCTGATATTTTAAGCCCCTCTTCCAGCAGTTTTCTTAGGAGATGCTGTGACACATGGAAAAAGCAGGACACACTATATTAAACCATCCTGGTGCACAGTTAAAGGTTCCTGCTTTTCTCAGAACTGACAGAATAGTCGTGCAGGCTTTGAAGAAAGCCAGAAACAACTCTACAGTCAACAGGATGCTTGATGAAGATGATAACACAGGATGGGAGAATCCCTGGCATCGTGCACCCCAGCAGCTCTGTGCCTCAAGAAAGACATTGGCTTGCCCTCTTCAACTGAAGAAGGGATTAGGAACTTCTTAGTTCCTTTCTCTGCTTAAACAAATACCAGATGTGATTATTTACTCCCTTCCTTTAAGGGGTGAGGACCGGGAAATGGTAACACTGGAGTATAAAAACCATCCATGTATCTGGAGAAATCCCCTGTTACAAAACGCAGGTGAACACTAGGATATGCCAAGGCACCACCCTCCACAGCTACTTCTGCTCTGCAGCATAAGCCAAGGCTGCCTGCCTGCCTCCTACTCTAGGGACATGATTCAGTAGCTACCCAAAGGCAGGCACACACCTAAGCACAACTGAAGACATCACAGAGAAACCAAACGTGACCAGAAACCAGGACGCAGCACGACATGAGCCTGGGATCTCCTGGCTCCATGGTTTGAGGTTGGCTGCTTAAGAAGTAGGCTTTGCCAAATACATCTTGATAGGTATAAGAACCATAAGAGCTCATGTTAAAGGTGGACTTCCCCCTAGCCTCAAGCACACCTGTGGCCACCTCTCCACTTTGCTGGCGGGGATACAAACCCATCAGATTCTCTGAGCTCCAACAGCAGATACGCTCAGAAGGATCTTCTTTTTCAAGCCTGCAGCACATCCCAATGTTTCAACTGTGCAGTCATAACCTCAGCACCCCCCCTTACTGACAGGGTTTCTCCCAGGACTACTTCCTAAAATTAAACCAGACAACAAACACACACTGGATGTTTTACCAAACCTAAACGCTAAAAAGGAAAAAGTATCACTCATCCCAAATTGAAATGGATCCAAGATCTTTAGCGATGCTGGAGTTAAAACCAAACCAGGTTAGGTTAATTGGGCACACTGAGCACTGATGTTTCTTCAGAGCTTTTTCATGTAATGAATTTTGACTGAGCCTTTCCAGCTTTTGGTGACAAACAGAACCTCTGAAAGCTCTCAGGTTACACAGTCTGAAGTAGGGAAACACTGAGTTATCCTGAAGCTGCTAACTTAATACAGGTATAAAGAAAGAAAGAAATCTTTCTCCCTCACTTAGCTTGAACATATTTTGATTCAAGAACATCAAGCGATGTCCTAAAGAAAAACACTCCAGCTTTCAAACCTGCCCCCGTGATGGAGTGGGGCAAAAAAGACTGCGCTTTGCTGAGCCTCACCAGGAGACAAGACAATTGATAGAGGAAGAATGAGAAGACATCCTCTCCTCCTCCTCCCTTCGCAATCTCACCACAGAGGCACAGGAGGAGAAAGCATCCAGCAGTCACAGCCAGTTTTCACATAGGCCATTTTATCAGCAAAGCCAACACCCAGTATCAGCAATCCTTTATCCTGGGCCTGAGGTTCCTCCAGAAGGCTGAATTAGCAACTATTTTTAGTTGATAAAGCAGCACATAGCTAGAGGGCTGGGAGGGTAAAAATCTTCTCACTTCCATCACTTTCTCTTATCACCAGCACTCTGCTATGAGCTACGTACCTGGAAGGAGACATAGGCAGAACTTAAGAAGTACATCAGGTACATCCTTCCAGGAGCCCACCTTCTGGGCCATTAACCACAAGCAATAAGCTTACTCGGTAAGACTAGGGAAAAGAAATGTAATATCCTATACAGAGGGTCAGAACAACTGAAGGACGTTCTGGTAGAGCAAGGTCAGGCTGGCAGGGCAGGAGCAAGTGCAGGAGATGGTCATCGGCACCACTGGAAAGAGTGCCTGTTGGTGGAGCCAACAACCTCGTCCTGCAAATACAGCTCTGGGGACACTCACTGTGCAGATGAGGGCATGGCACCAGGGCTCTTGGCATCACCTGCCACAAAACCCTAACACCAGACATACAACACACATCAGTAACCAGCACAGCGCCCCGGCAAAGAAAGCCCCATAATCCACAAACACACAACCAAGCCCTTGCTCTGAGATTCCAACAGTAAAGAAAATCTTGGGAGGAAAGGCATGAAGTTTATAGGAAAGTCCAAACAGCTGTAACTGATAACTGACAGTGAATTACAGACTGGTTGGTGTTGGAAGGGACCCTAAAGCTCACCCAGTTCCAACCCCTGCCATGGGCAGGGACATCTTCCACTAGAGCAGGTTGCTCCAACCCCATCCAACCTGTGCCAGCACCTCACCACCCTCAGAATAATGAATTTCTATCTCATAAAGAAAGGAGAGAAAACCTTCTTTTAGAAGCACAGCAAGGAAAGCAAAGAGGCACCTGAACAGCTTCTGGCAACGTTTTATTCTAATAAATTAAGAACACTTAATTAAGTTATTGTGAGCCTGAGGATGACTTTTCAGCCGGCTCGACTTACTCCTCGGAGCAGCTCCTTTACAACAGGCTCTGTCCTGTCCAGCCCAACCCTTAACCGGGTGCTCGCCAAGCAGCACAACTGACAGAGCTGGCACCATCCCTGGGAGGCTCAGCAGGAGAAGTCCTTCCACCACATCCCCTAGGGCACAGGAATGGGCAACAAGCCTCCTCACCAGCCGTGCCCACAGCACGCACGGCAGCAACACGGGCACTGCAGGGAGATCACATCCTCCTGTCCCTTTCTCCCTCATCCTTAAAGGAAAGGGGGAGACGGAAAAGCAATGGGACAAGGGAAATGAAGATTTCAAGGTACCTGGTATTTGAAGCCCACTACGTGTATTATTTACAGAAATACAAACATAGTTTCTCTATCAGCCTCGGGTCAGCCCCGCAGAAAAGTGCTCCGAGGCAGCATCCTAACAGCCAGGGAGCTACAGCTCAGCACCGGGAAGCTGTGCTGGGATTTCAACACCAAGCCAGGCTCCATCTGTAGCTCCCCATGACAAGAACATTGCGCAGTAACCACGAAGGCTTCCAACTCCTGAGCAGAAAGCCTTTTTTTTTTCCTAACGGGCATCTCCTGGGACACAGCCACCACCCAGTGCAAGCTCGGCAAACACAAGAAGCTGCCCCTCAGGACTATGCATCACAAATGAAGGGCTTCAAGTTCCCAACTCGTCTTCAGGACAAACCCTTTCCCTCCAGTACCCAGTTAGACCAAAGGCGAATCAAAGAATGCAGAAACACTGATTGAAAGCAGGCAGACAAGTCGGAGAGTAAGGAATGATGCAAGTTTTTGACTAACTGGGAGCGTTCAGCATTCCAAGCTCTGAAAAAGGGAGGTGTCAATGCAGACATCTGTACTACAGGGCTGGGGATCTCATCCCAGCGCACACCTCATCTGCTGCCAGCTCAGCTCTAACGTCCTCCTTCAATCCACAGGCTGCAGAACACAAAACTGAGGAAAAGACCAAACTTGAAGCGCTGGCAGGAGGAGCAGGCGTCAATCCTGAGCTCATCGTGAGGCTGTGGAGCGAGGGCAGCCGGGGACACGGAGCAACTCCTGCAGCACACGCCAGGGCTCACCCTGCAAGAGCAGCAATTCCAGTGGCAGCTTGCTGTGGGGAAAGTTACAGGAGGGCAGGCCAAGCAGCCTGCTGCTCTCCTCAGCATCTCAAGGCTCTTCCCTCCCTGTTCCTGCTCCCCTTCCCAAACTGGCTGTTTCCTTTCCTCCTCAGCAGGCCCTATGCATCGCATCACTCCTGATCCACCAGCCTCCCCTCACTTGACCTGGCCACAAGGAAAGTCCTGGCCAATACATCATCAGCCCCAAGCAAAGGGCGCGATGGTGGCTGGGTATACAGCTGGACAACACAAGAGGGACGTGGAGCTGTTGGAGCGAGTCCAGAGGAGGCCACAGAGATGCTGCGAGGGCCGGAGCAGCTCTGCTCTGGAGCCAGGCTGAGAGAGCTGGGCTGGGTCAGCCTGGAGAAGAGAAGGCTCCTGAAGGGGAGACCATAGGCAGAAGGGGAGCTCTTAGGCAGAAGCTCTTCCCTGTGAGGGTGTTGAGGCGCTGGCACAGGGTGCCCAGAGAAGCTGTGGCTGCCCCATCCCTGGCAGTGTTCAAGGCCAGGTTGGACACAGGGGCTTGGAGCAAGCTGCTCTAGTGGAAGGGGTCCCTGCCCATGGCAGGGGATTGGAACTGGATGAGCTTTAAGGTCCCTTCCAACCCAAACCAATCCAGGATTCTATGATTCCATGTATGTGCAGTCTGGAAGCCAAA